TTTTTGGTATTTGTATGCATTGAATTAATCTTATTGGACTGCTAATTATTTATATGTTTTTGAATTGGACTACGTTAATTTGTAAAAATTACGAATGAAATGTCATTAGTTGCATTTATGTAGTGTTACTATAAATATTAAAAAATTTAATTATGGTACGGAACCGATTCGAATCGAACCCGAACGGTTCCATAATTATATTTGGACCCGACGGGTCCATTTATTAAATACCCGAAAGTTTTGGGTCGATTCGAATCTCTTCAAAATCGAATCGAACCGATCCACGAACAGCCCTAAAAGAGTCTTATGTTGGACAAATAGGGACGACTGAGTTTTGCTTAAAAAACAGGATTGGGAATCGGGTTAAAAACATTTGGGACGTCACTGATTTAACAGATTAAAATATATATATATATTCAAACAGGTGCTGACACGGGTACCTGTTTTCGTCCCCATAGTATGGTAGCAGAGGAAGAGATTGATTTTTCAGCTTCGTGGGTAGGGGGACGGGGGGTGGGGGGTGGAAATAATATCTTGCCCACAGAAAAATGGGAAGCACATTGGATTGTCACTGGTGAATCATATCAATGTCAGGTTGTCAGGTTTTTCCAGGCTGGATAAACATACACTCTCCCAAACCCTATCCGTGGGCTTGGACTTTCCAACACTTCATAAAACAATTGTTGCGGCTACATAGTATGATAAAATTTCTCTCTCTTTAGCCCCTTTTTGGTAAAATTTTGATAAAAGTTTAAGTTAAAGTAATATATTTCATCAATTTTCATTAAAATATACTAAAAATCTGATTTAAGCTACATCAAATATGTACATAATATATATAATACATTAGTCGATCGCACATCAAACTTGTTCAATTTGCAAATGAAAGTTAAAAGTATAATATCATAAATAAAATTTTAACTTATGTATATGCTGTCAAATGGTTACATCGCAGTGGGAGAATCCTTATCCAATGTCATAAATCATCATGTCGATCCAAAGCTCTTAGTCAATAAAGACAACTGCTACCATCCCTCCACCCCTTACAGCCTATATAAATTCTGTTTCGCACTTGCAGAAAAAAAATACATTGCTCAGAACTCAAAAATATCCTCTCTCTCTGTAAGATCAAGAGAAATTCAGTTTCTCTCTCTAGAAGAAAAGATGTTGGCCATATTTCACAAGGCGTTTGCTCATCCACCTGAAGAGCTAAACAGCCCTGCGTCTCACAGAAGTTCAAAGAAGCCTAAATTACCAGATGAAACTCTTCAAGAATTCATTTCTTCTCACCCTACTAACACTTCCTCTATGAGTTTTGGGGATGCTGCTGTTCTTGCTTATGTACAACCTGATCACCACTCTCTTTTTCATCAGAACCAGAGGTATATATACACTCATGTACATGTGTTATGTGCATGAGGAAATTTTCAACATCTTTTTATGGGTTTTGTTGGCAGGTTGTTTTGTGGGTATGATGATATATATTGCCTTTTCATGGGGAGTTTGAACAATTTATGTGCTCAGATTAAGCAGTATGGATTAGCAAGAACTGCAAATGAGGCCATGCTTGTGATTGAAGCTTATAGAACACTTAGGGACCGTTGTCCTTACCCCGCTGATCAGGTTATTAAGGATCTTGATGGGAGCTTTGCCTTTGTTGTCTATGATAGCAAAGTTGGAACCGTTTTTACAGCACTGGTAGTTGGCCCGTCTTGTAAATTTTATTACCCTGTCGTATATATAAGATTTTAGCTTCTTTTTGTACGATTTCAATTATGATTTCAGGGTTCTGATGGTGGAGTTAAGTTGTACTGGGGCATAGCTGCAGATGGTTCTGTGGTGATTTCTGATGATATAGAGGTGATTAAAGCAAGCTGTGCTAAATCATTTGCACCATTCCCAGCAGGTAATGGTAGAGAATCTCAACATAAGAATTGCATAATTAATGAATAATTCAAGATTAATATGATTGATTTTGTGGATATAGGGTGCATATTTCACAGTGAGGGAGGATTAATGAGTTTTGAGCACCCAATGAATAAGTTAAGGGCAATGCCAAGGGTGGACAGTGAAGGGGTGATGTGTGGGGCTAATTTCAAAATTGATCATCTTGCAAGGGTTGATAGCATTCCTCGAGTTGGAAGTGCAGCCAATTGGGCAGAATGGAATTTTCATGAACCCTAATCCATCAGTTTCACGTTTTCCACTCTGTTTTGTTATTTTGGAGTATTTGATCTTTCTTTGTTTTCTGGCCAAGAAATGAGCACAGATGTACAAAAAATAATCTGAAACTTGATTTTGGTTTTATTAAATCTTGATTTATGTTCATGAATGTTACCTGCAATTTATGTTCCAATCATAGCAAGCCAAACCAAAAAAGGATTGAGTGATTTTATTATTGATTCTAACTTTAATGTTACAACTACAAGCATTCAATCCAAAATCTTCGTCTTTGGCACCAAAGATTAGTGAACAAAGTGACTGAGGATTACCCTTCAAGCCAAACCAACTAGCTTCTCACTGATTTCCCATACTTTACGAGCTTTATCGGCGTTACTGGCTTCTTGAGACAGCTGGTTCTCGAATGAAGCTGAATCCTTGTTCCAACTCCAGTAGACTCCTGACTTTGTTAAACTTGGATCACTTACAACCTGCATCAGAAGAAATAAGATATATGAGTTTATGCTTCACCTAAATTACATAATATGTGTTGTTATTTGTACCTGTGCAAGTCTCTTTCCGGCATCTTCCTCTGAGACGAACCCCTTGGTGATGAACTTTTGGAATGGAGGGAAAAGGAGCCTAAACAAGGGGATGTGCTCCCTAAACAGGCCTGTTGTTGCAATGCAACCAGGGTAAAGGGAAGCAAATGTGATGCCAGTTTCCTCGTTGTAACGACGGTGAAACTCTTGCATCGTGAGCATATTGCACACCTTGCTATCCTTGTATGCCTTTGCTCCATCGAAATCTCCACCGTCAATCATGGACGAGGTGTTTAATCCATTCAACCCCCCTTGGAGGCCCCTCAAATCCCCAAGGTTCGCCTTTGGAGGTACATTTCCAGCCAGTGTATTTGTGTTCCCTGAAATATATCAAGAGAGACACCGTTAATCTATCATCTATATACTTGTTGCTCGTATTAGCGGCATTTTCTAGATCAATTATGCACACTAATGATTATGTTATACCTGTAATTGAGCCGACAATTATGAGTCTCTTCGATGGATAATCAGACTGCTTCATGTCATCAAGCAACAATCTTGAAAGAAGGAAATGGCCAAGATGGTTAGTCCCAACACTGAGCTCAAACCCATCAGCTGTGAATGAAGGCTCCCTTGCAGTTGGCTGATAGACAGCAGCATTGCAAACCAAGACGTCGAGGGGCCGGCCAGATTGCTTGAAGTTTTCGACAAACTGCCTCACACTGTCAAGGGAAGCAAGGTCTAAATGCATGATGGTGTAACTTTCTTTAGACATTCCAACGGACTTTGCTGCCCTCTCAGCCTTGAGGAAGTCCCTGCAGGCCAGAATTACGTGCCATTTTCCGGTTTCAGCCAGAGCTTTTGCCGTTGCCAGGCCTAATCCAGAGGAGGCTCCAGTGATCACCACAGTGCCCTTTCTTAGTGTTTTCTTCCCTTGAACTGTTGCAGGGGTGAAAACTGGAGAGGTAGCCACTGCCTCAGCTCTGATAGCCCCGACTGAGAACTTCCTCAACCCGAATTCTCTCTGCAAGAAATGCAATCTCCATTAATAATCTTGAATCTTGATTCATCAAGTCAATGACATTATCCATCTGGAGAAGAAAATTTGTACCTTGTCAGCCTTGATACGGTCTGAGATTGAAACTCCAAAGAGGCTAGAGTCCTTCAAAGATGCACTATTTTTTCCCTGTGGAAAGTACCAAAATTAATCAAAAATCAAGATAACAAGCATTAAATCAAAGGCTTGTACACAAAAAGCAGTGGCAACAAACCTCTTTTTGAATGGCAAATGCAGAGGGGAGAATGGCAGCAGCCTGTAGAGCCATGGAATTTCAATTTGTTAGTATTAGATGTTTCTTTGATACAAATCTAATATCAATTGATACTTTTGGGGATGTATATATATGAAAATGTTGGCTTATATTTGACAAAACGGACCGAACTTTTGGATATTATAAATGCAGCACGGATAAGATAATTTTCTATGGACACGTACACATCAACTCCAGGGAACCAATCAGATTTTGTAGTTCAGATTTCCTCTGATATTTTTATTAGAAAATAGAAGAGTTCCACTCCTACAGTTATGGGCCTGGGATGGACAAATTCATCTAGGATAATGTTTGATGGAAACCATTTCGTGCAAAGAGAGGATATGGTCAAAAAAGTTCAAATCTTGTTCATCAATCAAGTCATATCAATACTGCATACCAAATGTGCACTAAAAATTATTACAATACATTGAAACACAGTAGGAGAAAGAGAAAGGTGAAAGGTTTAAGAACATTGTCGATTACAAATACAGAAAGTCTATTTCAAATTATGCTGTTGGATGAATTTGATGAAATCTTGTTCATCGGTCAAGTCATATTACTACTGCATACCAAATGTGCGGCGAAGGTTAATAGGATTACTCTGAAACACAATAGGGAAAAGAAAAATGTGAAAGGCTTAAGAACAATATCGATTACAAATACAGGGGGTTATTTCATATTATGCTGTTAGATGAATTTGTCTAAAACTACAGGAAACTATACCACAACCAGTTTATATATACAGCTGTTGGAATAAAATCATATCTTCAATCCAAATTTCCTATTACAGACAATCAATCGGTTCCTAAACTCAATGTGTAAACATTTTTTTTTTCCCCTCTTCAATCATGAGAAATCTACTTATCAGTGTCCTCTGGAAGGCTCCGATTTGGCTTTCTAGCCCCAGATGCAACTGTCACAACAAGAAAAAAAGAGAAAACTGGCTAATCTTTGCCCATCTTACCAAATATCTGTACAATTTTTGCAAATTTTGAGGTGTAGAAATCCGTTGGCCACTCCTAGAGAACTCTTTGCCACTAATTTCGAAGGGGCAATCCAAAATTCTGGAAAGTCCTAATTTCTCCTCTGAGGCCTGCAGTTACAATTACCATCCCCCACGCTGACCTGTTTTGGGATAACCAGTTGGACAAATCAGCATCAACTTGAGGGCTAGTGTTCTTGGTAGCCGAAATAAATTTATCTTCGGACCACATTACTGAGAATCTATCAAAGAGGTAGCTGTTTGTATCACTAGAAATCATGCCATTAAGTGGACTACTATTGACTGATGCAAATGGCGAGCTCTCGCCATCATTAGGTTCTTCGACTGGAGTAGGCGGATGGTTGGCTGTTAAAACCTCCTCAAAATTATCAATAGAACTGCTTTGAACTCTAAAACACGTGTCATGTAATTCCCATGAGTCACGCATTCCAGGCCAAGGGATTGCAACTGATACATCTTGACAGTGAAAATGCTCATAAGAGTGGGTCACAGTAACACCTTTGTTTCTGTTTGGTCGGGATTCACCTTCATGTCTCCAAATATATACATAAGAATCCTCGCTAGCAGAGATCACGTATTTTCCATTAGTTGTTAGGGAGGCTGAGATTTGGCTGTTTGTGTTACGAAACCCTGCAAGAAATTCCCAACTATAAGAAGTCCCAACTTTTCAAAATAAAATCAATTCTCATGAATGGGTAAAAGCAATGATAAATGTCAGCATAATAATTTTGGCACGGATCCACCTTGTCAACTGGATCACAGATTCAAACAATTCTCATTAGACGAATTCTACTGTGACAAAAACTTGACCCCCAACTAGTGGAAGATGTTGAGGAAACATGTATCAATCATATTAAGCCCTCGTTTGGTACAAATTCTTTCAAAATACATTCTTTTAAAACACATTTCAACCACATTCTTCAATAAAATAATATTTTTATGACATTAATAACTTTTCCTTATTTTTTTAACCACAGATTTCCCATCATATCACTATTTAAAATACATTGTTTCCTCAATAATATCCATTAAACACACCCTAAAATGAATTCCACTCATAGTAATCAATTGTGATTTATATTCTAAAATCCGAGGTAAGAAAATGTTGAAAACAAACCTAGGCAATTAATCTCTCTTTTCATCTTCCCGTAAATTGATGGAAGAATGTAGGTAGAAAAAGGAAAATAAATAAAGTTCTGAAAAAAATTGGGAAAGAGATTCTGTGTCCTGCTTCTGTAATTACGAGGCATGTTTTCAAATGTCTGCATCTTCCTTTTTGAATAACGCCATCTCTCTCCAGTTACACACTGAAGTTTACAATTTACATGATGTCATCCATTTCTGATACCCAGAACTGTGCTACTAAGAGGTTCACCGAAAATGGGCACCTAAATAAAGAAAAACAGGGAAAAAAAGAAAAAAAAAATAGCCTACTCTAACTAGGACCTCAATAATCCGAATACTATATTTTATCATTCATATTCATGGTTCAGATATGGCAGACAGAGATTTGGAATCTCATGTAACATAAAAACGAAAGGAAAAGAAAATAAGTTAAGGAAATGATCAAGTTGCACTCCTCTATAAGATACTAACATCTTCAGGTGTTAACAACCATATGTAACCATGATAACCGACATCAACAGCTTTGTCAAAATTACTTGTAGTAAGAAAAAAAATTGAAACAAACCATCAAGAGTCCCCCAAGAAGAAAAATAACCTAGATTAAAATTTCATAAGATTCACATTACATGTGGTCAAAGATTACAAGACATCGCAGGTTAATGTGCAGTTTCATGATCTGACAAGGAAAATACTAGGATACAAGTGCCAATAGAAAACACAAGCAAATTAAAATATTTTTTCGGTCACAACTGCAAACACCAAAACAGAACAGGGCTCAATAATTAGAATAATCATGTCAGCAGACAGCAGTTCAAAACCTTTCCTAAATTAGAACCTTCACGAATTTCCATAATAAGCACATAAGACACTAGAATAGACTGATTTGTCAACTCTTGGCATGTTTAGTTAATTAATAGACCAAGCTTAACAATTATAACCATCTTTAAGAATATAACCCTCATTGCCAGCTTCAAAAATTTATAGAATCTTATACAGTACACTAGCATACCTTTGAACTTGTGAACAAGATCAATACCCTCTTTATCTTGAACTCGTGAATCTCCAGATGTAATAAGCACTTCTGATGTACTTCCTGGTGCAAACTGAGTGATGAAAACAATATAATCATAAGAAGAGGTTGTTTTCACTTGCTTTTCCCAATTATAAGAACTCCACTGTAATGCCAAAAGGCTATCGTTCTCTGAAGAAAAGAAAGTGTCCAACCCCACCCAACACCAATAATTTATTCCCTCATAAAGGTGCATGTACTGCAATTAGTCAATGAATTGATTACCTGGAAACCGGTAATTTTCTTTTGATGAGATTTCTTCTTATTCAGCAAATCGATCTGGCTTTTTTGCTGGAATTTATTATCTGGAAATATAATGATGCATGAATAACTAGTTTACAATGAACAGAATCTTATCTTTCTTCATGAAGCTATTATTCATACCTGATGTGCTGCATGAAAAACAGAATGTAGCCACGAAAAAGCATGCTCATTCCCCACCCCCACCCCCACAAAAAAGAAAAAGAAAAAAGCTTTAGTTGTTATGGTTCTCGCACCTTATTGGCCTGCTTTATTTCTAAACAGATTCCTTATTTTCCTATGTTATGACTGCAACTAGGAACACCATATATTAAATCCTAAATGTCAGAACAAAACACTAGAACTTAGGAGGAAAAACTTTCCTTCAACAAAAATCAACTGCAAACACCAAAACAGAACAGAGCTCAATAATTAGAATAATCATGTCAGCAGACAGCAGTTCAAAACCTTTATTAAATTAGAACCTTCACGAATTTCCATAATAAGCACATAGACACTAAGAATAGACTGATTTGTCAAACTCTTGGCATGTTTAGTTAATTAATAGACCAAGCTTAACAATTATAACCATGTTTAAGAATTTAACCCTCATTGCCAGCTTCAAAAATTTATAGAATCTTATACAGTACACTAGCATACCTTTGAACTTGTGAACAAGATCAATACCCTCTATAACTCGAACTCGTGAATCTCCAGATGTAATAAGCACTTCCGATGTACTTCCTGGTGCAAACTGAGTGATGAAAACAATATAATCATAAGAAGAGGTTGTTTTCACTTGCATTTCCCAATTATAAGAACTCCACTGTAATGCCAAAAGGCTATCGTTCTCTGAAGAAAAGAAAGTGTTGTACCCCACCCAACACCAATAATTTATTCCCTCTTATTTCTTATATAAGGTGCATGTGCTGCAATTAGTCAATGAATTGATTACCTGGAAACCGGTAATTTTCTTTTGATGAGATTTCTTCTTATTCAGCAGATCGATCTGGCTTTTTTGCTGGAATTTATTATCTGGAAATATAATGTTGCATGATAACTAGTTTACCATGAACAGAATCTTATCTTTCTTCATGAAGCTATTATTCATACCTGATGTGTCGTATAAGAAACAACTTCCCTTGTATGACCCAACTAGAGCACCCTTCATCAATTAACAAACACAGACTTTAAGTACAACTGAAACACGTGCATAGGGAAAACAATTTTGCATAAGTAGTAACTGTAATACAATGTATGCCCAACCTGGCCATCAGGTGTATAGCAAGCTGCAGTGACCATTTCATGTAAATCATTCCAATCAACAACTTGGTGATCAGGAATGCTCCATATGCGCACCTTAGCATCTAGGGATCCACTGATGAAGTATCTATCATCAACGGGATTAAACTGGATGCAGGTTACTGCGTCAGGAGAATCCAGAATACTTATCAGTGATGAATTAATGTCAAATCTATTTATTGAGTTTATGATATTAACATGCCAAAAGAAGCCCTGATATAAAACTACAAGTCTACAACTAAACAAACGGATTTATGAAACTAATGTGTAAAATAGGAGATGATCTAAATATTCATATGCACAAATCATCAATATACTAAACCCGTCAGTCGAAAATTAAAATATCATCTCAACTACTAGGCAAGTAACTGAAACTCTCAAGCCACAGACAGTTCCATAAATTCTACCCACTTCACATTCTCTCTTACCATCTTGATTCATAGAGCTGTCTTGATTCAGACCACACTATGGCAATTGACCTCCATTTTTCTCTCTTCTTTTTGTATAAAATCATCCTCTAAAATAAATATTCTTGTTCACAGTGTTAATTTAACCACTTGTTATTCATTTATTACTATCATTTGCCAACCAAATTTCCAGTCTCTAAAAGCTTTTCTTATGTTTTGTTAAAACCCAAAAAGATATGAAATCAGACATTGATCTTAGACAACCTTGGAGCCAGATTCTCGTATTTCAGCATGTTTCCTACGACTCTTCTGTTAGTTCATTTCATGTTGTATAAAACAATAATACAAACTCATAAACAAGACTTTGAGAGGAAAATTTCACGATCCTTTCACACAATTATAAAGACTACCACAATAATCTTTATGCAATCCAATTGTAAGAAGCTCACCACCTTGCATCCTCCTTTTGATAGGCATCAAAGCTCGGCATAACATAGGCTTAGGATCATTCTAATATTTATTAACTTCTGTTACATATCACAAGTGTCATTCCCATGAACAAGAGGTTCCTCCATGAAATCCCCGTCCTAACCTCACGACCTCAATAGGAAATGTGGGCACTCACCTCTCAGAAGTTTAAGAATTTTTGGCAATAGAGTAATAGGGATACAGGCAATTACCATAGTCACTGTGTGCGAAGATCTTTAAACAAGAATTGCTAGACAAGTCCCATAGCCGCACAGTTTTGTCCATTGAAGATGACAGCAGTTGCTGGAGAAGGAAGAAAACCATTAGCGAGATGTCTGGTGAAGACCTCACAAGTTCTTGACTTTAATTAAAAAGCATACAACTAATTTTGCATAGGCAAAGATGAATAATGGCAAGAAATAAAATCAACTAATTTTTAGTAAAATAATACAAAAATAAGAAGATTTTGAAAAATACAAAAATTAAAAATAGAGAGAGACAAAATGCAAAAAGAAAAAAATGTATCAAATATCTATCTGAGTTTCAGAACTGCCAGTTGCCTCCCTGTAATCTTGTAGAAGAAGCTTCTCGGGGGAGCGATGAGATGTGGGGTAGGGTAGGTATTTTAATTGTTTAGCCAAAGAATTGATTGACACTTTTTTCTAAATACCACTGAAACTCTAGCCTTGAGGCACTGAAGGCGCGCCTCATTCATGCCTTTTTAAACCATGCAAGATAAAGCTGGTAACTGCAAATGCATGTCATGGAAAAAGACCAGCCAAAACATTTTGTATTACTTAATCTAGATGGGCCAAATGTATATCATTTAAACATTTTCTTCAACAACCATTCAGATAACCAACTTTTTCCTCCAAATCAAACCCTCAATTTCTCCAGGCAGATAAGATAAAATCACCGTAGAAACGACAAATTATGTAATTAAAACTACTTTTTCTCTATTTTTTAGGGGAAATTTTCCCAACCAGTTTTAGGAAAAGGTTAATGCAATCCAATTTAAAGATGCTGTCAGAAATGTTTCACACTCCACTAAGACATCATTGACATATATGACTTTTGCCTTGCTTAAATACTCTTTGAGACACTACGGTTTTTAGACAAGAATTACATCTTCCCATGCCTTTAGGATAATATTTTTTAACCGTCAAATTTCATGTTCTGGCCAATATTTAAATTTCTGGCTCTTCACAACCAATAATCAGAGATGCATCCCAAAATGTTCAAAGAAAATTTTATGAACTTTTAACCACAATGTTCAACACAGTATATTATGTCCCTAACTAGCTTAAAGTTTAATAAGAACAGGAATCATAGATAACTGTAAGTACATACAAATCTTCGTTAACTCTATACACCGCAACAAAAACAAAATTCTTTCAAAGTCATGGACATTACACATCACTTGCACATCACACATCACTTGCACTAACGATTCTATCAACAAATCCCATGAGGTTAAAAGCTGCTAAATAAACCTACAGAGATGCAAAAGATCAGGATGGATTGTCTTAAATTTTTTGAGCAAACAACAAAAACCTTAATGAAGATGCTTCAACAAAATCATCTTCTCACTCTACATTTACAATAACCAAATTTACACATAACAAAGAAATAATAAGCCGCATCAAGCTTGCAACTAATTTAAATATCACATTCCATTTTTGTGCCTGTTATAAATATTCTAATTAAACATATTGGAAAGCAAATATCCACATCTTGCATTAACTCTTCAAATATTTCTTTAAAAAGATGCTCATGTGATTGATTAAGTTACAGCAAAAAAATTAACAAGCCCAAAATGAAATATAGTCCGATATACAACCTTCTTGTTCGGTGATCTAGTGGACAACCCACCTGAGAGAATGCACTGAAAGGCAGTATTCTATACTACACACGTCACTTCATGGACAGAAAAAGCTTGGCCAAAAAGTCTAAATTGCACAATCAGGGTCTAGGAATATGACAATCTTAGTTAATTCATGATTCGATTGTCAAATAAGTAATTTCATTTTTCAACTAGACAACAGAGGTTAAATAAGACTCCATATTATTTCTCAAATCATTATACCATATGAACAACAATAGAAAAATAAGGCAAAGATGCTAGCTAACCTGAGACTTGGACCACGAGAGGTCCAGTACATCATTCAGATGTCCTTGAAATGAACAGATGGGTTTCTCCAAGAAGGCAAAAACAGTCTCTGGCACCAAAATCTGTTCAAGGCTCGCTGATTTTCGGTTTATGGATGACTTCCCTCGCCTCTTCTTCTCTGAGAAATTGTCCGAATTTGGTGTCATTGAAGAGGGCTCTGGTGATCCATTGGCCAAAAACTGAAGATTAAAATTTCCATCTTCAATTTTCTCCAACAACAAATCTCCCTTCCTCTCTGATCCAACAACCTGCCACACATGGATCGCGCAGTCCTCTCCAGCTGTAGCAAGATACTTGCCATCCAAACTAAACTTAATTGTCCAAATCGACCCCCTGTGAGCCTGTATCTCCTGGATTTTGTATAATCCCGTAAGCTCTTTAACAGATTTCCCATACTGCCTGATCCGAACTCTTTCAGGCACGTGAAAGGAAACATCCTGGCTATCATCTGTAGCAGAGCTTGACCTCCTCCCACCCTTCTCTGATGATGTATCTCTCTCATCGCTGCTTCGTCTCTCCTTGTGCCCTGTAACAGTACTTGTCATATTTTTTATACTCTTCAACCAACTCCCTCTCTTTAACTTACATCCAGTCTCACAGTTCCCTTCTGCATTTGAATCCAAACCATCATTGATCCCGTCCTCCACATTCTGCCTCCTCATTAACTCCTGCACAATAGGCGAAGTCCCAACACACATCTCAGAAGAGAACTCTTCCATTGTCAACTGTCGCCCCGTCCCAACTTCCTTGATCTTTTTCCACATCCCATCTTCCCTCACCTCCTTCACCACAAACTCCTTCCCATTATCCAGATTTTTTATCATATACACCCCATTAACAGTATTCAACTTATTACACTCCAAACCCTCTTCAGACTCCCCATTCCTTGGAATGGTCAATGAACTACTAAAGCTCCCATTGCACATTGAATCTTCTCTAATCTCTCTTTTGGGCGGCATATTCGGAGTTTTGGAACTGATCATTGGCGATCCATTGCTAGATTTCTCAACATCAGAATGGCTTTGACTGTGGTTCTGATTATCAGTCTTCACAGGTAAACCAGTTCCAATAATACCCTCCTTCCCTGGTGAAGAGGAATTGGAATTAATTATGTGAAACTCCAAACTCTTGCAAGAATTACCGCCCCCGTCCGATTTAGATCTCACAATCCCGGATAATATTCCATTAGTATTACTACTACTATCATAATCACTATTAATATTATTAAGGGTCAACGAATTATTATGAATATTGGAAGAGCTCTCACTGGTGTTCAAATGATCCGAAGAGGCGGATCTTTTAAATAAGTCAGGAGAACAACCGGAAGATGACAAGGAGGGGCGGTGGCGGAGGAGGGAGGGATCTTTAGTGAGGCCCATTTGGCGGAGGAGACGGATGCGGCGTTCCTCAACTGAAGACGGCTGGGCGATCCATACATCGTATTTGTTAGACAATCCCTTGGGGAACCTGGGCACTGGCTCGGGGCAGTAATTGCAGTTCGGATCCTCGTCTTCTGAGTTGGAATGGGAGCAGGAACAGGAAGTGTTCGAGGAAGAGAGGAGGCGGTCGAGGGAGTCGTGGAAGCCCTCTTCGTCGTCATCTTCTTCCCCGGCTCTGCTCATCCCGGCTCACATTGTCCAGTCCAACTCCACTAAGGTCCGTCTCTGTCAGTGCTACGTATAGTATATATAAATGTAGAAAGAGAGTACGTTTTCCGTTAAAGCGAGTATGAAGTTCAGGAGCGCGTGAATTTGGAAAATGGGGAGATCGAACAACACTGGAACAGGGGTTTCAACTTCGAGAACTTGGATACGAGGATGGGAGAAGAGAGGTGAAACGGTGTCGTGGAGTGTGTTGGGAAACTCTTTGTTGTCTGATGTTGGATTTTAATTAATAAGGAATTAATGGAAAAAATAGACATGTGGTGGAAAAAGAGAGGGGGAAGATGCAAAAATAATTGACTTCTGGAGTTTTTAATTCAATTCTTCATCATTTTGTTCCATTGTTGTAGTTGGTGTTTTAGAACTCCCAAATATATTTTGTTGGAAACAATAATCCCATGGATAAAAATTACTATATTTTTAATAAAATGTATGTTTGAAAAGTTATAAATTCCATAAAATTTGTGTTTAAAATTAATTCGTGACCTCAAATTAATCTGTATACAGGGAGTTATAATAGCAGAGCAACTCTATTGTTAATTTCATTTTGGTACGTAATTTTTGTGTGAGTGGACTAGACGCGATTACTCACATCAATTTTTTTGCAAACTTTATAACGTGAGTGTAGTATAAGAGAAGGCAAATTATTGTAAGCAACCACTAAAACAAATGGCATTAAGTCCTTGTTTAATTTTGATTTTGATTTTTTGAAAATCGCTTTTCTCTCATACTTTAACATTTTTTAACAAGGCCGCCCTTGGCCCAAGGCCTACTAGGCAAAGGTCTGGGGCTTCCAAGAAAAGAAAAGAAAAACCTACCCTACAAAGACAACTCTTTTTCTTTGTCTTCCATTTCTTCTTGAAGTGAATTGCTTGGATTCAAAAATCAAAATCTTTATTGTTGGAGGTGAGTTACTTGGCTTCAAAATCAAAATCTTTATTTGAAAATTTGAGCAAGTACATATGCTATTTTCCTTAATTATTTATTCAAAAAAACCTTTTATTCTTTTTAAAGATTGTTGTTTTAATGTTATTATAAATCTTGTGTTCTTTTGTGAAAAATGTCTTTTAAGCCCTACTCTAATCTGTGAATGGTTTCGTCATGGAATCCTAGCTGTTGCTTCATGTCTTTGATTGCTATAATTGAATCTTCATTGACTTGGCCAAGTTGAGATTTCACCTACGTTGTGAAAACAATACAAACTAATTTGATAAACCAATCAAATGTGGAGAAGAATTAAGAGAAGAAGAAAAAGAAGAAAACATAATATTGAGCCATCAAAAGATTAGGTTTTCAATGAAATATACAAGTTTATACATTATAAGAAAAGTAAACAAAAAAAGAAACCTATAAAAGAAGAAAACTAAATATTATACAATAATATTATATAAGACAAACTTCCCCCCTACTCAAACTCATGATGCTATTGCAAAAACAGCGTGAGTTTGTCAAGTAAGAAGCGGAGACGATGAACTGGATGAGACTTCGTAAAGAAGTCGGCAACTTGTAATGATGAAAAAATAAAAAAGTAGAAAAATAGTGTCAGTCTATAGATGATGGCGAATCAGATGACAGTCAATCTCAATATACTTTGTACGCTCATGGAACACGGAGTTATGAGAAATCTGAATAGCACTTTTATTATCACAATACATAGGGGTTGGAGATGATGAAGAAACACTCATGTCTTCAAGTAACCAACGCAACCACACAATTTCAGTTGTAGTGAATGTCATAGCATGATATTCTGCCTCAATAGAGAAACAAGAAACAACAATCTATTTCTTACTCTTCGAAGAGATAAGTGAAACACCTAAAAATATACAAAAAGCAATAATGGACTTGCGATCGGTGGGGTTACTAGCCCAATCAGCATCAGAGTAGAAACGAAGCACTAAAGATGTTTTTTTTCTTGGCTGGAACGACTTATGATATAATACGTCTTCTTTATCTTGACGAGTTGATGGAAATAAAAGACTGAAAGAAAGTACCACGAAGATAGCGCAAAATACGAACAACAGCTGCCCAATGAACCGTAGTAGGAGTCATAACAAACTAACAAACAATGTGAATAATATAAGCAATATCGGGACGTGTGATGGTAAGATAAATCGACATCCAACAATGGTGTAATACAAAGTGGGATCAGAAGGATACACTGTCAGAGGGTGAATATCCAACGTTAGACTCAAGAGGAGTATCAGCAGTTTTAGCATCATCAAGACGAGCACGCTCAATAACATTCATAGTATACTTAGACTAAGAGAGAAGATGACCTCTAGAAGAAGACACAACTTCGATCCCTAAAAAATAAAATAATGCACCTAAGTCATTCATTTCAAAACGACGAGCCAATTCTGATTTCAAATCTGCAATCCCATCAATATCATCACCAGTAATAATTATATCGTCAACNAAGAGGAGCCATATAAACCTCATCTTGAAGATTTCCATTCAAAAAATGCATTTTTGACATCCAACTGACAGAGACTCCACTGATAAACAGATGCAACAACAATAAGTGTAAGAACAATGGTCATCTTGGCAACATAAGCAAAAGTCTCCTAATAATCCAGACCATATTCCTGATTAAAACCCTTAGCAACCAATCTAGCCTTGTAACACTCTACTGACCCGTCAGAGTTGGTTTTAATCTTATAAACCCAACGAGAACCAATAGCATGTTTACCTGAAGGCAATGCAACAAAGTCCCAAGTGTCTGTCTTATATAGAGAAGAGAGTTCATCAACCATAACCAGTTGCCAAAGAGGATCCAGAATCGCTTCTTTATATGAAAATGGTTCAGATAGCTTGTGAATGGTGGTTAGAAAACAACAAAAAGATTCAAAATAACAAGAATAAGCAAAATTAGGTAATTAAGTGGACTTACGAATACGTTGAGGATATCGAAAAAGTGAGGGAGTAGGAGTTGGATCAACTATCTCAAACGGTGCTTGGGAGACCACTGAAGGAGGAAGGGTATCATGAGCATGCACATGTGTACCTGTAGGACATGAAGAATCAACAGTACATGAGGTATGGGAAGGTGGTCTGTTAATATCATCAGAGAATGAATCAAAACGAATGAGATCAGTTTTAGTCACGTCATGAGTATTATCAAAGATAGAAAAGAATGGAATGTGCTCAAGAAACAAGACATGACGAGAAACATATAATTTTTTATTAATGGGATCAAAAAAGCGATAACCATTTTACCTCTACCCATAACCCAAGAAAACACAGATAGCGGAGCAAGATGTCTACTTACTACGTTCGATTTCAAGACGAAGAACAAAACAAGTACAGTCAAAGACTCTTAATGAGGAGTAATAAGGAAGATGCCCATATAATATTTCAAATGGTGGTAAACCTGAAGTGTGAGAATATTGAATCTTATTAATTAAAGAAACAACAGTGAGAACTGTTTCTCCTCAAAATTACTGGGAACGTTGGCAAACAAGATAAGAGAACGAGTAGTTTCTACAATATGCCTATATTTTCGTTCAACAACACCATTTTGTTGTGGGGTATTAGTACACAAGATTTGACCCAAATCACATCTAAAGCACTCAATTATAGCAAAATGTTGAGTTTTAATAAGTGCTCTAAAAGAACGATAAATAAAAAGAAAGTCGGATTGTCGTTTCATAAGACAAACCCAACAATAACGAATATAATCATTAATAAAAAAAATGCATAATATCTAGACCCTCATTTTGTAACAATAGGAGCAGGTCCTCATACATCAGAGTGAATAAGATCAAATGGTGCAACAAAATGATAAACACTTTGAGGAAAAGGTAAAGCAAAAAAATTTAGCTTTGCAGATCTCCCATTTGACCCTTAAAAACAACAAACGACTAGCGAAAACATGTCCAAGGGGAGACTGCCAAAAATAAAAACTAGAATACAATGAATCCAAATAGAAAGATGACAAGTTAACCCCAGAAGCTGCAACATGTAGTGGTCTCAGATTGTCCATAACATATAACCCTCATTGTCTATGACCTATCCCAATTAACTTCTGATATCGATGATCTTGTGCATGACAAGCAGTAGAAGAAAACTGAACTAAGTATTCAAAATCACACAATTAGCCTATAGAAATAAGATTCAAGTAAAAGCTAGTATACAATAGACATTTGAAAGCAATAAATTATGTGTATTAATAGAACCAATACATGCTAAAGGCAATGGTGTGCCATCAGTAGTCATAACAGACATAGACGAGTTAGAAGGACACAAGTCATTAAAGAATTTTAAGTTAGACGACATGTGTTTGGAAGCACCTGAGTCAAAGATCCATGAGATAGAAATACCTGAATGACTCTGAGATAACAAACCTATATGAGTAGAGGCTCACATAACATGTGGTTGTGTGGCTAAGAACTTCTAAAACTGTTGTGCTAAATTTGTCAACATAGGACTAGAGGAAGGTGGTGCTCCAAGTATAGACGAGTCACTATGTGGCATGATGGCAGCTATGTTAGCATTGAGACAATATGATCGTTGTTGTTGTTGTGGCTAGTGCTTCTTCAATAATTTAAGACATTAAGACTTCCAATGTCCCTTTTGTTTGCAAAAGTTACACTCATCAATACCAACCATCACATAACATTTGTTCCGATATTGTGTGCATGATCGAGAGGGTACAATCAACACTGAGGTGCTAGATGGAGGAAGAAATACTTCTACTACAAGAGATTCCAAACATGATTCCTCAGCTACAGGTTCACTAACCACCAAATCAACTAAGGGAAGTGGAGTGTGATGCAAGATAGAGCCTCTAAGTCCCTCAAAATCACTGTGAAGTGCCATAAAAAACTGAACTAATCGATGCTCTTCTCTAAAAGTAATATATTCCTCACATGCTTTTAGTCTTGTTGATTCTGTCAGAGCCAACTCATCCCAAATTGAATTCATAGCAGCGTAAAACTCGAGAATACTCATATTCTTCTGTT